GTACCAAGTCGTGACACTCATTCCTCGCGAAGTTCGCCCGGCGGACAGTCACAACAGTCGCCTTTGCCCGCGTGCAGTCCTTTGTCCCCCTTGTCGCCGATAATGTCCTCTCCCGCTGCCGTCCCTGATAAGGAGACGCTGAAGCTCCTCCTCCCGCTCCGATATGATGGGAAGTCGGTGGTCGAATGCAACCGCTTCATCTCGCAGTTGCTCATCTACTGGACGGTCAACACGGCCCTCTCTTCCCTCGAGCTGAAGATTCAGGTAGCCCTCAGTCTCCTCAATGGTGACGCGCGAGCTTGGGCCACCCCCATCTTCTCCCAGCTTGCTGTCACAAGTTGGTATGGCGTCTAGCCGTTTTTTAATTTTTCCTTTTCGCGGGCTCGAACCCGCGACCTCTGTACTACTTGCCTGATACGGACGCATCATATCTACTGTATGATTAGATTAGATGGGACGGCAGTGCACGGCACAGCTTGGGCTCCGCTGACACAGCCGCTCTGACTCACTGGCCCCTGGGGCCGCGTTGGCATGCTGTGCATGGACCAGCTGCGCACGGACCAACGCGCACAGCCTGCCCTAATCTCCCCATGTATATAAACCGGCCTCTGCTGCCCTAGGGACCTCAGTTTTGACCTCTTGTCCCTAGGTCAGTAAGCCCTCGCTTGTATTCCTTTCTTACCTTACTAACCAATACATTTTCTTGTCCCTAGCCTTAGGTTTGAGCCTTGCTCACCATCGCTTCGGTGAGAACCAGTCGAACACCCCTCACTTCCAGATATTCCCCTGTCGCTCGACCTCAAGTCGCGACATTAGGTCGAAACTCCACAAGCAACCGGCGTTCTCTCGGAACCCATACACTCACTTTCCTTTCCCATAGGTTGGGTGGTGCGCACCCATACGATACATTACGATACGTAGATAGCCTACATTACATCGCCAACACTCAGGGAACGAACCTTTCAGCACCTGCACTTCAGTGGGCGGTGCTTGTCCTTAACCAGACGCGTGGACTAGGTTCCTGCTGCATACTAGCCAAAAGCAGTACTGGGCCCCACGTGAATCGCGAACCCTAGTGTCATCTCGGGCGCCGTAGGTGTAAGCTAGTCTACCACGGCCTTTCGTAGTACGCGCACCTTCCCGTCCTCCCCCCATCCATCGTGGCTGCCTGCCAAGGCCAGATCCACGCATTCGACTCCCAGGACCTCATCGACGTCTACATCCCAGACGGCCCTGAGACTGTCCTCTACTGTTGCGAGCAGCAGCCGTGCCCAAATCGGACACCCCGATTGATTGAGAAAAATTACCCTCATTACAAGGCGATCCGACGAGCACAACACCTGCTCGGACCCCGAAGCACCCTCGCATCTCAATCGGCCTCGCGGCACTCTCGCCCTGTCTCCCCTACCTCCCGCCTCCCTCAAACTGTCGCCGATCAAGCGCGAGGAGATCTCCCTCCAGACCCTGCGCCAGAGCCTGAGCCTGAGGAGGGTGACAGTGAAGAAGGAGTCTCGGAGTCCGAGTCCGCGGATCCTGCTCGGCCCGCCTCACCGACAGCGCTCACCTCCGCGTCAGCAATCCCTGACGTACGTAACCCCTCCGCCGAACTTCCTCCGGCGCCTTCACCGCCGACTCCGCCGAGAGGCCGCTCAAGCACTCGCTCCTCCCGAAGTTCGGCCAGCGGAGGGCCACCACAGCCGCCTCTGCCCCCGCAACGTCCTCCGTTCCCCCCAACACCGATAATGTCGTCCCCTGCAGCCGCCCCCAACAAGGAGACTTTGAAACTTCTCCTCCCACTCCGATACGATGGCAAAACAGTCATCGAATGCAACCGGTTCCTGTCGCAGCTGCGCATCTACTGGCTGGTCAACACGTCATTGACCACCATCGAGCTTAAGGTGCAGGTCGCACTCAGCCTGCTCGATGGAGATGCCCGCGCCTGGGCCACTCCCTACTTTGCCCAGCTCGCATCAGTGCAGGTGGGTGTGCAAGGGGCCACGACCCCGTTTGCAAACAAAGCGGCCTTTGCCGCCGCCTTCAGGGCACGCTTCGGAAATCTCGACGACGAGGCGGCAGCACAAGTAGAGCTGGCGAAGCTCTGCGCGGACAAGACGGTCCGTGAAAAATGCACCGCTGCGGAGTTCTCCGCGCTGTTCAAGGGTCCGGCGGACCGCTCTGGGTATGGGGACCTGGAGCTACGCGACAAGTACCTGAGCGGCATCCCCTCCCGCATATACCGAAAGATCGAGCTTGAGACCTTCACCACGTGGCAAGCAGCTGAGAAGCACGCCACTGAGGTCAAGCAGATCCTCGACATCAGCCGGGCCTGTCGGCCCGAGCTAAATAACTTCTTCTCGGCCCGAGGTCGAGGGTGCGGAGGGGCACGTGGTGGTGCACCCCAGTCACACGCAGCTTCGGCCAGCATCAATGCGGCCGTCGGAAAAGGCAACTTCCCTGGCACATGCTTTAGCTGTGGGAAGCAAGGGTACCAATGTTTTGAGTGCCCTAATTGTAAGGACAAACCTTACACAAAACGCGCCAACGCGCGGGCTATGGTTGCCTCGGGCTCTACCCAGGCTGCGACAAGCGCCCCCGTCACGACAACACCCTCGGCAAGTATAAGTGCCGCTTCGGCGAAATCTGAGCAATCGGAGCTGGCGGACTTAATGGCACAGGTGAAGTCGATGCGCAAGGAGCTCGAACACTATCGGGTGATGAAGGAAGAGGGTTTTTGATCCGGTCCGCGCTTCGTGCTGCACGCGTCGGGCCGCATATATCCTGTAACAAATATGATGTATTGTCGACTGCAATGGTGTATGAGTTGGACCAGGGGTCCCAGCACTTTCACATCCCAGTTCGACTTCAAGGAAAAAGACAGCACAAGGACATAATCGCTATGGTGGACAGCGGAGCCACTACAAAGTTCATCAACAAGCGATTCATTGAAGGGAATAAGGTGCAGACGCGGAAGCTGAAAGAGCCAATTCCGCTTTACAATATTGATGGCACCCTGAACAAGGACGGAAGCATCTCGGAAGTAGCAGTACTACAGATGCACATAGGAGAACACGTCGAGAAGACAGTGTTTACGGTCACGGACATTGGTCCAGAGAATGTGATCGTAGGGTTGGATTGGCTACGCGAGCACAACCCTGAAATAGATTGGGAAAAAGGCTCCCTAAAGCTATCACGATGCCCTGAAATGTGTAGTGCCCGAAGGACTGGCCGAATGGAACAAGCAGCGACTGCGCGTGATATGGGGGTCAGGCCCACGGAGCGCAGGCGTTCGCTGAAGTCCAAACGGTCGGTTATAGGCGCTTGCCGGAGTAAGGTACTCCCGGACATCGAAGCCGAGAAATATCCGGTGGAAGTAGAGTGGGATGAGACCGACTTGATCGAAGCCTGGGAGCAAGGTATCACGCTTCCCGGTGCTCCCCAGCTGTTTGTCGTAGCGGGACATACGTACTCCCAGTTGTTTGCTGAGGAGGAGATCAAAAAGAAGGTCGTCAAGACCACCGAGGAGTCGGTACCTAAACAGTACCACGAGTTTCTGAAGGTCTTCTCCAAGGAAGCATCAGAACGGCTACCCGAAAGGAAGCCTTACGATCACGCAATCGAACTCGTGCCCGGCTACTCAACGTTCCGACTCGAAAGT